TTATTTTTTTGGTATAAAGGGCGAATACGCAGACGGGTCTCAAAGAAACCGGTCCTTTGTTACTAAGACAACTATAAGAAAACGTGTACGCGTATACAATTAAAAGAATAAAAGAAAACCATGATCATTTACGCTATAAACTGCAAATTTAACCGCTATTACACGTGCTACGATTATAAGCAAAAGCAAAATGGTGGTAAAAACTACTCGGATTTCTACCTTTTTTGTATTTGTTCTAACCACTATCATCGTTTTCCAAGATCATAATTGGCTTAGGAATACTAATAGTGATCAAGTGCAAAATATATTTAGAAGTGCTTAAAATTATAACTTACCCTCTTTTGAGAGATTTAATAATATTTTTATATGTAAGAGTTTATACAAAGAGCTAGTAGCATGTTCACTCATTTATCATAAAAATGTCTACCATCAAGTTCACACCAGGCTTGAATTAATATTCACTTCACTTTTTGTTCTGCAAGCGTTTTTATAAAAGGTCATATCATTTAGAATATCGAACAAATAAAACTCAACATTTTAGTTTCAGCTGACCTACCTTCTATTTCTATTCTGTGGTGTACACAGACAAAAATAGAGGAATGCAGTTGGCAATACATAGCGTATAGTTTACAAGAAAAAGCCTCTATCATCACACGTCAATACTGTCGCCATTTTCAGTCTTCGTGAGAACAATCTAATAGCGCTTTATAAATATTTCCATATCTATACAAATACAACAATGCAAGATTTTCAATCTGTGAAACGGGTTATCGTCTGCGGTATTTCCGGACCGATACGACCTTCAAACCTTAAAAAAAGAGCGTACTCCTTCCTAAAAGGGCGGGCTTCCTCCTTCATGGGCGGCGATGGTCACTTTCCATCAGGTGACCCGTCTTCTCGTCTGTCTTCTCTAATATAAAAAAATAGAAAAATAAACGTTTATTTTATTAGAGTTTACCTAAAAATATTAGTAGTAACAAACACTTGAGGATATAAAATGTAATAAATATTAATAAAATTAAGAATAAATCTTAAATTCCCTGATAATCGGGAGATGTATTATACGAATTAAATATTATTAATCGAATACAATTTAATAGTTATACTTTCAACGTAGGTATATTCACTTCTAATACTAAACAACAGTTTTAGTTTGAGAGGTGTACAAAAGTTTACAATCAGTATGCTGCTGCAGACCTTTATGTAAATAATACTGCAATTCCGCAGCAATTCCTGTATTGGTCAGCCATGAATTCTGCTTCGCATTTTGCAAATGCTTCGTAGCGTGCAGAAATTGTAGGAAATAATACGTTACGTGATTACTTGTAAATAGTATTGTGTACAAAGCGTGGAACTGATGTGCAGATACTGCAAAGATTTGTCAAAAAATTGCTGTAGAGAAAAATTTTAGCAAAACGAGCACAGTTTAATTCACTTATAGTGTCTGTGTAAAATATAGTTATTTTATTTAAAAGTGCATTATATTGTATTGTATATTATATTGTAATGTATTATTTTTCGTTCTTTCTTTCTTTCATAAAAGAAAAACGCGTTACATCATCATCAATCATCTACAGCCTTTAATAGTCGACTGCTGGGCACACACCTCTCCTTAGCAAGGAGGTTTTGACCTACTATACCACGCTGGCCAGACGGGTTGGTATAGGGTTTCTGTCAAGTTTTCCTTCTCTTTGCAGTGCTGTTGTCCTGCGTAGTTTGCTCCCTTAGTCAGCTCTTACGACACCCACGGGATGAATAGTGGTGGTGACACCCTGTATTCTTAATCCGTCACCACACGGATATGTATTACATGATTAATTCTTTCATGTGTTACGTGCGTGAGGTTACCAGAGCCACTACCTCCTCTCTCCCTGACTCATAGGTGCCTCACCTATGAGTCTCATAGGTGCCTCACCTATGAGTCTCATAGGACGTCAACGCACTTATGATTCCCGAGTTGTAGGTGTCCATGGGCGGTGGGAGTTATTTACCATCAAGTGACCCGTTTGCTCGTTTGACCCATTTAGCAAAAAAAAACCTATTATGCTCCTTAAGTTAAAACAGTTAAAGCCAAAACTAACGTTTCTTGTGTAGGTTTTAAGTTAGACTGCACGGTCGGCGTAGTGGTTTAAGCGGTCGCCACGCCGCATCAGTGTTGTCGGTTCGATCCACACATGTATACAAGTACACAAGTACACATATTTAAGCAAGTTTTCTAAAATAAGTAAATAATAAATAGGTTTCTAATAAATAAATAAATAACAGGGCGTGAAAGTCATACAAGAATTATCAAAATTCCCTAAGATTTGCCGCAGATAAGATTGGTTCCATTGTCATTATCAAATGGACCAACTTAGTTATTGGATTTACTGTAAAACCTATGTAACTGACTAGAAGTAATGTATTGTTTAAGAAATTGATGCCAAAAGAAGAAAATAAAGAGAGTAATATCGAGTAATAATCTTCATTCCAATTTATAGTTCACTATGTATTTAAGATAGCGTCCGGAATAAAGATTGCTTCATTATCGGATACATGGTGACATAATCTTTGCCGGTTTTATTTCAAGGCTTAATAATAGTCTCTTCATAGCGGGTCGTATAATAATGATAGCCTGGGACATATTACACAGCGTTATTTACTCGAACAAAGCATATATTGTGTTAAGTATGGGTTTTAGAATACAGACGAACACACATACTTCCACATTTTCTTTGCAAATACTTTCTACGTAATACGTAGAATAAAAAAGATTCATACAAAATAAACAAACACATGCAAAAAAACATTGAACATTTCCTTCTTCATTCCTTTCTTTCGCGCCTCGGAGAGCACGTTAAGCCGTCGGTCCCGATTGCCATACGAATATCTGTGGCAATTGTTACGGGTAGTTGGAGGCCTAAAAATTCCGACAAGAGTCTTTCTACAGAATTTCGATATCCTAGGTGATAAATATACTTGGGTTGTGGAGGTTTGATGCCAGACGCTTCGCGTAAAAAATCTAAGTTAAGCCGTATCATAGTAGACTTAAAGCCGACCCCAACCAAGTCGGAGGAAGAAGGAGAGTCCTCTTTCAGCATTGAAGTGGTGCCACGATCTCACAGGAAACCAGTATTATTCAATTATTTCATTGTTTTTTACCAAAGGTGTGAAGTTAATGGAGGCCCAACCAAATGCTCTTTTAAATCTGGGAGGATCGCATCGCACTATGACTCTTGAATTACAAGTCTCCATATGTCATGGTGAAGGTCACGGGAAGCCGTTTGATGCGGGCAGCACATGATTGGTTGTTGTGTTTGGGAAAGCCTACGTCCAACAGTGGACCTCTTCCAGCTGAGATGATGATAATTATGATGATGTGCAGCTTATCGTCGTTTGCTCCCTATACCATAAAAACTAAGCTTGAATCCAAGCTTAATGTTTTCTTGTTGACCCGTGATATATTTAACATTGTAGTCAAAGGCTTAACCCATCGCCGTATATGGTATATGCCGTGAACAATAAATCTTCTGAATCCCACGAACTGTGCAGTGTCCTATCTATATCTATAAAAGAAGTAACTGACAGACTGATTCACTGACTAATCGATCAACGCACAACTGAATCCGTTGGGTCTAGAAGCATGAAATTTTGCACAAATGTTACTTAGGTGATGTAGGTGTGAACTAAGAAAGGTTTTTTAATTAGACCCTTAAGGATGCACAATTGGGGGTTGGAAATTAATATGAAACCTTGATGTTTTTGGTAGTAGCGTTTTGAAACTCACAGTAAATACTCTTTATTAAAAGAAATAAAAAAGTTTGTTACTAATTTTTTTAAACTACGCTTAAGAAAGGGGTAAAAGTTTGTATGGGAAACTATTTTTTTCCCTTATAGATTCCAAACTCTCAGTATAATTATATTTTCTATCAATATTATCCTTTACGATGTCTAATGTCGACCATCACGCGGACCTTCATTAAAACCTAGTTTCAACTAAAACGATCTGCTCTTAATCAATAACTACCCGCATAATAGTGATCATCAGTCGTAGACTAATCTCCATCGCTGAGGCTACTTTCAACCGCAGCAGATTAAAGATAAGCCAGTGTCTTTAACAAAGCATTTAGAAAATTTCGTAAGAGAAAGCTGATAATAAATACACATATTTTTTAATAAGTTGAATAAAGGTTTCATATAAAATACCTTGCATACTCAATAATAGACTTTCAGTATAATTGAATAATACACTTTTTGCTCTTATGCATATTCTGCCGTCGTCCTGGAACAATGGAAAATAATTTGCATGATATTAACGAGACTCTGCTATCGGGTTCGCCTCTATTTTTCCGTATATATACTCGTACGTATATACTATCTCTCCTCACCCGCTCCTTATCTCTCCTCCTGACTCCTTAAAGCAGTGAATTTTAGTACTAGTTAAATTAAGTTGGTTGAATCACGGAAAAAGCAACAGGATTGGATCTGAGGCTACTACAGAAAAAAAACTCGTATGAGCTCTAACTCATTGAATCATACGTGCATTGACTAGCTATGGCTAGCTTAGATTAGCTTTAGTGTATGTATGTAAATATTACACGTGATAACTTTGGATTTATTTAAGACATTAAGAGATTTTTATTATATAGGTCATACAAAGTTCCAGGCGTTTAATTGTGGAAAGGATTGAATAGTCTGAAAACCAGATGGTTTTACATGACATACATATGTAATGTTATTTAACAAAATAAAGAAAACAACAAATAAATGTATACGCAGAATTAGCCAAATAAAACTTCTAGAATGATTTGTATACTATATAAATTATTAGTACCATGTAGAACCCCCTTTTTTTTTCTTTTCCGTGATGTAGAACCCCTGAAAAATAAATAAACGTAAAAAGCTCTTTATTAATTAATCTCGAAATAAGTGTACTTGAGGTAAATTTAATACTATTTTTCTCTCCTTACAGTGACATTGTTTATCTGTGTACGAGTGATGTTTAGTGAACTTTAATCAAAATGGACAAAAACGAGGCCGAAACAACTAAGGGCATATGTGGGCAAGTGCGCCGGTTTCGCGACAAAACCCCAGACTTGTCAACCGATTTGTCGTTCGAGGAGCTGAGAAACAAATTCGATACAAGTGCGCCCCATGCGGCGAGAAGGGAAATCGCTTCGAATCCCGCCACGCACGGTAGCGCCACTCGACAAGTGGTGAGCGGGAAAATCTTCAAGAAGTGTAAAAGTGCGACTTTTCAAATAGATGGCGCTACATATACCATTGGTGAGTAGATGGTTCAATTTATCGCCGCTGTTTTGCGTGGCGCTATTTAGTTATTATTATGGAAGGTCGGTATAGGAAGAATACATTCTCAGCTAAAGCCTATGAATGATAGTTTTTAGAAACAGATTTTTAACCTTTTTAGGGATTTGAATATTCTTTATATACAATTTATTTCTATTAACATTGTTTTCAGTTAGTTAACTCTTAACATTCTAGTTAAATATGGTCTTGTTAACATGACAATAAAATAGATGGTCATGTAAAGCTAAATTCCAACATAAGTCAATATTATGATGCGGCAAAAAAGGACCGATGCGATTACATATTTATAAATTAAATCTTAAGGCAAGACTTTTAAAATGTAATAAATCTTTATTCCGTAAATAAAAAGCGTTACCAAAGTATAATCGCCATAATATGACGACAATAGATACTTAGGCGGTTATGTTGTTCATTGACCGATGAACCGGGCGGCGGAGGCCCGCCTATCACAGCCTCATGCCGCCCTGAGTGTGGCCGCGGGTGGACGGGGTGGGTTTCCCCTCCACCCGCATTAGTTGGCCAGCCGCGAGGGGGCGGCGTCCGCGTGTGCCGGACGTCGCCTAAGAAGAGAGGAAAAACATTGAGACGGAGCCCGCACCAGGAGCGGGCTGGCGCTAGGAGGGGTCCGGATGTCTTAACAACAGCTGTTCCCGGATCCCTCCTGTTACAGGCGCAGAGTGGCACACCGTGTGGTTTTAGTCGGTCCGAGTCCGACACACCACCCCGCCACAAACCCCGGAGGGGTGACGGTCCGAGGGGATTTCCACACGTTAAAAAAAAAAAAAAAAAGGGTTTGTGTCAAGTTTTCCTTCTCTCTGCAGTGCTGTTGTGTTGCGTAGTTTTTTCCCTTAGTCGACTCTTACGACACCCACGGGATGAATAGGGGTGGTGACACTCTGTATTCTTAATCCGTCACCACACGGACCGATATATTTCAAAAAATAAGTTACTACACTTATAATTAGTTTATTTTATAATGCTTGCTATCATACTGAAGTAGAAATACAGAAAGAATAAAATATTTACAAATTTATTTCAATTCAGTTCGGTTTCAGTAAGTTCATATCAAGTTACCAAGAGACAATCACCAATTCTAATTTAAATCAACCTGAAGGTCATAGAGTAAAATACTTCGTTTTGTTCAAATATACTAATATTACAATCTGTTTGAAATACAATCAAATTTTGGAGAAATTCTATACTAAATTATTTTTAGAACAAGAAGAAGCGAAAAACTTTTATTATAAAATTATGAACACAAAAACCATAAATATACATACCTACTAATGCTCAGGCATACACAAAGCCATACATACTCATGCTATTTAATACATATATATGTTATACATAACATAATAATGATGTATATAACATAACATGTCCAATTTAGCATACTGTACAAAGAAAAATTAACAATAAAAACATTTTATACATTTATGCATATATTGAAGGTCACGCTTAAAAAGAGACCGGTTTGAAAAGAAATATGTCACACACATAGATTTCCCAAAGGGTTCTCAATAAACGTCGAAGGGTTTTACCCTTCCGGGTGATTAAATAACCTCCTTCGAAGATAAGGGTTAAACAAATTCCATGCTCATTTTCTTAACGGATTCCTAATTATTTGTAGATCTGCTATCAACGGAGTGACGTATTACTCTTGTTCAGTTTGGTTGGTTTTTCCTTAATTATTGTTTCCCACAACTTAAAAAAAATAGGTTTTGTATTAAACAATGTTGTAATTTCAGGAAACGAACAGTATTTTATACTCAGAGTCCTGATTGAATTATAAATTCTTGTGAATAAGTTTCCTATAGTACGATTCTAAAGGACAATACTTAATAATATTTTACAGTTGTTGTTCGTATGCTAGTGTGCTCACCAATCACAGGACCAATCACAGGATACGTTACCCCGGCTTTTCGAACTACTGTAGTCGCGACCAATCCTTTTTCTTTACTGCAATAAATTTCCTTTTTTGTTTCATCTCTTCCAAAACAATTTCAAATCCAAAATGCATATAAATAATTACAAGAGGATTATAGATGAGAATTGTGGTTAAGACTGTACCTTTGACTGATTATATTCAAATAGAAATTAGTTAACGCAGAAGTATATGTATAAAACTTATTACAGAATATTATAAACATTTACACATATCCTGACAGATGTTGTCATTAATCTTAACCTTTTTTTTCGTTTTATTTTCGCTAGAAAAAGTAGGCTAAGGCTACTAAAGAAGATAGTAGATTTTATCCCTCGTCCCTTTGAGAAAAATTACGTTTTAGCCCCGCGAAATCTAGGAAACTCAATTTGTAATGGTGACTACTAAGTTCAGGGTAGGTAGAGATGATAGAGCGCGATGATACGGCTTCGACACACAGCTTTATATTAATAATCATTGGACTTCTTTTCGACTGTACTTCTAAAATTTTCTTGAACCAATCCAACTAAACTAAACTACGTCTAATGTTACAATTATATTTTTATTAATAAATTCTAATTCCTAATTCTGTGGGAAGGGACACTCGACTAGCGGCAACGCACTTGTGTCTTGCGTCGCAGGGGTCCGTGAGTGGTGGTAGTCACTTACCATCAGGTGACCCGTCTGCTCGATTGCCCATTATTACACTAAATAAGTAGTTATTCAAGTAACACTCGTGCCATGCCGTGTTTTTTTTAATGTATAAGTACAACAAGTTAGTTTCCTTGTAATTAGATGTCATTAATTTGTCATCAATTTCTAGTCTAGTCGTTTTGATTTACATAATATAATCCATACTTATATTATAAATGTGAAAGTAAGTTTGTTTGTTTGTTTGTCACGCCTAAACCACTAACCCGATTTTATAAATTCTTTCCTTAATGGCAAGCTACCTTTTTACCGCTAAAGCCGACACACACGCGGGCGAATCTGCGGGCAAAAGTCAGTTTATTATAATAGGTCTTTACCTATGAAATTGCCGTTTTGTATGCAATAAGTGAAAGTACTTATTTTTTCAAACTTTTTTATTTCCGTTATTCGAAGTAATCACCCATGCAATCGATGCATCTTTGCCAACGCATTGGCAGTTTATTGATGCCCTTCTTGTAAAAATCAGCTGGACGGGAGGCAACAAACTCTTCAAAGGCATTTTGTACTGTCTCTCGGGAATTGAATTTTTTACCCACTAAAAAGTTGTCTAAATTTTGGAAAAAGTAATAGTCGGTAGGTGCAAGGTCTGGTGGTCACATCTGCAACCAGCTTTGGTCAATCGGTCGTCCCCACTGCTCCTACACGACAACGCGCGACCCCATACTGCGTAACAGACAGTCGCCAAGCTGCAAGAGCTGGGGTTGGAAGCTCTCCCTCATCCGCCATACTCACCAGACCTTGCACCTACCGACTATTACTTTTTCCAAAATTTAGACAACTTTTTAGTAGGTAAAAAATTCAATTCCTGAGAGGCAGTACAAAATGCCTTTGAAGAGTTTGTTACCTCCCGTCCAGCTGATTTTTACAAGAAGGGCATCAATAAACTGCCAATGCGTTGGCAAAGATGCGTCGATTGCATGGGTGATTACTTCGAATAACAGAAATATAAAAAGTTTGAAAAAAATAAGTACTTTCACTTATTGCATACAAAACGGCAATTTCATAGGTAAAGACCTAATAAAAATAATAAATTACTCTTAAGTCGGCAAAATCAGGTTATATGCGTGAGTGCATATTTAACATTTAGTTTTAATTTACATCCAACTTTCACAAAGCCCTAAACAACCTTGTATGCGCAGCGTGTTGCTGTTTGACGACACAACCATCCTTGCAATCCAATTACTAAAGTCGAACAAACATGCCTCAAACCTATTTTGTAAAAGTCAAGTAATGGGAAACGTGTTGGGAATTTCGGAAAACGGTTTAGGCTTTTTGTTAAATGCAATAAAAACTTAACTTACCTCTGTATAAACATTGAATTTACTAATAGTCGTTATCAATGCTAGACAGTGTTTCTGATAAATTATGCGTGTAAAAACTAGTATTCCAATTTCTATGTTCGAATCATAACCTAACTCTTTTTTTCTACAAACAAGCCTTTTATTTTATGTCACACTTATGGAATTACCACCATTGGAAAGATCAGCCTCTGCAAAACTTGAAATCAGAAAGCCGCCATTCCTTCAAGACAAAAAGTACGTACTCACCTTTCGTATGTCCTGCCAGACTCATCATAACACACATTCCATATTGTTTATTTATGTATGTAAGTTAACAACTATGCATTTCAAATATCAACTAGTTACTTTTTCTTGCTCAATCTACTTCACGTCATAAATGCCGATGGCGTAAGTCCGCGATTCTACAATTTTATGCATAAAGTTTAAAATAAATAAAAACAAAAGTTAAGTTAAATACTTCTGCGGAGGAAAGTTTTCTGATAACTTCATGTTTTATCCATAAGCGATACGTATAACTCTCAACCTTTTAACCTAGTTTCTTAGAACTCTCATCTTTATATTATTTTCTGTTAAATGTAAAAGAGCTTCTCTGCATGAATTGTATATTAATTATGTTTTATAAGCAGTATATTTTAGTACATATACAAGTACAAATTTATTTCATTTAATTCCTGTTTATTTTTATTTGTTATAATATCACGTGGCAGGCGTAATAATAAAAGTTACTATACGTATATAAACATAAGAAGCATTAATAACAACAGTACTCATCTTTACAATATTCTACCTATATTTATTTTTTTACATCTTTATGCACATATGTATATCGGCGGACTTAATGACCCGGGCATTTTTTTGTTTAAATATATAAAAACTAAACTAAACTTACATATATTATACAATTACACATGTATATAAATAAATAGACAAATAAATGCATATTCTTTATGTTCGTACACTGTGAATACTTGAATTTAATGAGGTGTACTATTGGTTAAGGTACTTTCTAAATCTCGTCGAGAAATTAATT